GAGAGAAAGTCCAGAGAGAAAATGAGGAATTTTAGTTTTAACACAACAGTTTATCATGCACTGCTGCCTCCTGTGGTCAGTTCATGTCACTGAGGTAAAACTGAACAAAGGTGTTAAACTACATTTGGAGAAAAACAAATGACAATGAAACTCTTTTTCACACTGACATTTTATTTTATTTTTATTTTTTTTTGGTGCTTTGAGAAAACATTCAGAATTCGACATTTTATTTTATTTTTATTTTTTTTGGTGCTTTGAGATAACATTCAGAATTCATCTTTGATTTAAAAAATGCTTTCATGCTCCTGTTAGCTTGGCTAATATTTAGTTTAATAATATTTGGCTACTTTTTGTTAACCTTTTTCTGACTCACAAATAATTTGCTGTTAGGCTATCCTTTAGTTTGTTTGCTGTTTTTGTGTTTTCTAATTTAAGTATTTTCGGTCATCTGTAAGCTCATGCTAGCATAGTTAAACTTTGTTTTGGCAATTTCTTTTATTTTGTAGCTATCATCTGATTAACTTTTTAGGTTTTGATGCAGTATATGACTTCTGGATAAACTAGCAAATATGTGCAGAAGTAGTCGTTAGCTCTTTTGACTATTTCTTAATTAGTTTATAACAATATTTTTAGCTTCTATATTAGCTAACTTGAAGCCAGTTGGCAAAATGGTTTGATTTTGTTGTTTACTACAAGTGTGCCAATTTTTAGACAGTATTAAAAAACATAGTTTCTGGAAACAATCCTAAATTAACGGATGAAAATCAGCCCATTCATTTGAAATAAACATTTGAATGAAACTATTCTAATATACATATAGTAATAATTGGTGTGTAAGGGTTAGGGTTAGTGTTCACACTGGAGTTTAAGGCATTTTTCCTGCAGACAGTGTTTTGTTGGTAATTTAAAAATGTGAATCCTCCTACTGCTAACGTCAGTAATAGAACTGTGAAAGTAAGAAAATAAAAAATACAGTATAGGTTTCACACACACACACACACACACACACATGCACTGTGAGCAATCCTCAGTGCAGCAGCAGCAGCAGCAGTTCTCCTGAAGAGCAGAAAATAAAAAATTCAATTAAAATGCCAGGAGTGGAGAGAGTAAGAGACACACACATTCTTAGTGACACACAATCTGTCAGAGCACGAACAAGCATGCACACACACACAGAGGAAGTGGAGTCGTGACAGTGTTAATTTAGACCCTGATTGTAATGGTGATTCAGTTCTAATTACAGACACCTTGTGTGTGTTAATGTGAGCATGAGTTTGTGTGTTTGTGTGACTGTGTGTGAATGGTTACATGCTGGTATGTGTGATTGTGTCTGTGTTTGTATGTATGAGCACGTCTCTGTGCGTATTTGTGTCTGCATGTGTAAGTGTGTGTGTGTCTTTTAATCTGTGTGTGTTTCTGTCATTGTCATTTGTATGTGCGTGCACGACTGAGTGCTTTTGTGTTTGTGTGTGTATTTTAAATAAAATCTAAACACAAACCTTTATTTCAGTCCCACTGTTGGATTATTGTCCACACCAAAAACATATTTTCAAATAAAAATGTCGGATTTCAATTTCAACTTAATCTAAACACTATTATCCCAAAATAAAATATAATAATTTCAAAGCTTGTTTTTTTTATCCTAACTGTTCACATCTAATCCTGCCTCATTATTTTGAAATAGAAAATTAAATTCTCAGGTTATTCCACTTAGGCATGTCCGATAACATCGGCCGATATTAGCATATTATGTAATAGCTGTAAGAATTGTTATTAGTTTTTGACTCCAATATTAAAAACCCAACAACCTAAAAACAGTTTTGGGGATAAACGGCTGTATATAAAACAGAAAGTCACTAGATGGCAGCATTGCAGCTCATTTAATTAATCTCATACTTATACAGTAGTTTGTACAGATAAATAAATATTACTAGACCTATATCGGTATCAGTTGATATCGGAATCGTAAATTAAGTGTTTGGACAATATCCGCATATCGGATATCGATAAGTTAATAGCGGACATCCCTAATTCCACTTGTAATTTAATATTTAATTAAAATGCTGGGGAAAATTATTTAAAAAATGAAACTTTCTTCACCTATAAAATTCAACCAGTTCTCAGAACCATTACCGGGTTTCCAGTGAGCCGCAGCATAAGGGTGGAGGAACATTTAAGTCTGAGAGAGGTTGGAGCTTCAGGCCTGATGGGGGCGCCGCTGCAGGGAACCAGCCCACTGTTGCATAAACCAATCCAATCAGTGGCTTTTCAGCCCCATCCATCATTTCAACACTATCAGTCTGCTCATTAACGGCACTACTGAACCACGCTGAGGCTTCTGGGAAAATAAATCACACTCACTTTATTCTCCACTCACTGGCTTTTGAAAA